GTGCGTACTGGGTCTCCCCCCCCCCCCCCCCCCCCCCCCCCCCCCCCCCCCCTCCTTCCCCCTCCCCTCCCCCTCTCCCCTCTTATTCGCACGCCTGGCACAGTGCCCTTGCTGCACCCCTGCAATCGTCAAGCCAACCATGGCGCTTGTCATGCTGCGTGACGTCAATGTCATGAACAACCCCGCTCTGTTCAATGAGCCCTTCCAATTTGAAATTGTCTTCGATTGTCTTGAGCCACTCCCACTTGGTACACACGCACATACTTGCGATATTTGTCATCTCCGCCTTCCGGGAGCTCTTGCTTCTCTCTGGCTCTTCTCCCTCCCTCCCTCTACATATCGGCTCTCTGGCCTTCATCCACACATGAACTGACTTGTCCCTTCTCCAGACCTCGAATGGAAGCTCATCTATGTCGGGTCAGCGGAATCCGCGGCCGCGGATCAAGAGCTGGAGTCGGTTCTGGTCGGGCCGCTTACCAAGGGCCTGCATCGTTTCGTCTTCGAGGCCAACGCTCCGGATGTGACGAAGATCCCGATGGAGGATGTCGTCGGTGTTACGGTCATCCTGCTGACTTGCGCCTACAATGACCATGAGTTCATTCGCGTGTGCGTATGCATGCCCCCCTCCCCCCCCCCTCTTGGCCGAGGCTCGTCCTTTCATGCCCTTTGCTTACTGATGCACTTCTCTGTATGGGCTACACACACACACAACCCATGCGCAGTGGGTATTACATCAACAATCACTACAATGATGAGACTCTTCAGGGCCAGCTGCCACCAGAGCAGATCGATTGCAGCCGCCTGTACCGGCATATCATGGCCCACGAGCCGCGCGTCACGCACTTCCCCATCAACTGGGCCAACCCGGACGAGCCACTGCCCGTGCCGGAGGAAGTCATGAATGTTGTCCTGCCGGAGGAGGATGATGATGACATCGCCGTCACCACGGCCTCCGGTGCCGGTGGGGCCAAGGCCGCCGCCGGTGGGGGGCTGTCCCTGCCAACCGCCGACATGCTGGCCTCCTCGCCCGGAGGGCTGACCGGTCGGCCGGCTGCCGGGGTGGTGCTCACGGTGGACGACCCGTCAGCTGTTGATGGCTTTGCCGGTGACAGCGGCGATGCCATGATGGTGGATGCCAGCGATGAGGATGCCGGCTCGCAGGATCTGATGACCGACGACGACGATGAGGATGACGATGATGATGAGGACGACGACTCCGATGAGGATGATGAGGCGCTCACCGATGAGGAGGGCAATGTCGACCTGTACACCAGTGACACTGACTCCGAACTTGAGGCCGACAACCCGAGCATGGCTTCGGAATCGGGCGTCCAATCACAGGCCATGGCGGCGGCCCCTCCGACGGCTGGCCCGGCGCAGCCCGCCACAGTTGTCTGAGAAAATGCCCGCCCCTCGCCCGCCCCCTCCCCCTCCCCCCTCTCTCTCTCTCTTCCCTCCCAATCTCCCTGTTGTCTTCTCTTTTCTTGTGTGCATCCTCGGGAGGGGGTGGGGGTAAGTTGGTGGTTGCCTCCTCTCTCTGTCTCCCCCTCCCCCTGTGTGGGGGCAAGGATTCCCGCCCCGTCCATTTTCTCGGCCTTCCCCCCCCCCCCCCCCCCCCTCCTGCTTTTCAAACTTCCTGGTCGGGGCTTTTTTTTTTCCAGACATCCCCCCCTGCTCGCGCCATCTCTCATGGGGAGGGGCCTTTCTACATGTCGACAAAACCTGAATACAAATAAAGAAAAAAGATAAATGCCATGGGCAAGAGGTGGGGATATACATGCACAGAGGGAGGAGTTAAAGACGACAGGAGGCCGGGCGAAAAGGCGATCCAGGGATCGACATGGGAGTAAGGACCGCATATGGAGCCATACAGAGGAAGGAAGGGGGGGGGGACAGGAAAAGGGAGCAAGGACACTGTGTATTTTGGGAAGAAAGGGACAAAAGGAGGGGGAGCATGGGGGAGCATGGGGGAGGGGGACATGCTTGAAGATGTGGCGCGTGATCATTCCTCATCTAGTGAGAAGTCGATGGCGCCTCCGAAGCCGCCGGCTCCGGCATCACTGGGCGGGGCGGAGGCCTGCCCCGGAGGCGGGGACAGCGGCGGGATGTGATGCGCGGCACCGAGCATGCTGGCATGGTGCACGGCTGCGTGGATATCCGCCGACAGATGAGCATCAACACCCGACACCGGGGTCATCAACGAGGAAGCCGAGGACATGGAGGGGGAGCTGCTGCTGGCCCCGGTGGAAGAGAAGTGGAAGCTCCCAGCCGAGGAGGAGGAAGCGTCAGCAGACTCGGGCGTCGGTGGCACAAGGGCCATGGCACCATCGAGCTTGGCCCCGGGGGCCATAGGCGCCGGCGAGCTGATGCCCATGCTCACACGGGAGGAAGTGCCACCGGCGCTGCTCGGGGCCGGGGAGAGACCGGCACGCTCATGCAACAGGGCCTGAACATCCTGCATGAGCTCCTGCTCGGTGAGAGTGAGGGCACGGGCGGATGCGGCATCGCCACCAACCGCGATCGAAGTGCGAGCCACGTGCATGCGCCAGGCGTCCTCGGTGGCAGCCGGCATGTTGCCAAAGGAAGCCGCCCGAGCCGAATACGAGCCAATGCTGGCGCGGGACATGGGCAGGACATCATGATCGTAGCCGGGGTCGGAAATGGACCCAGGCATGCCGGTGGTGCGCAGGGTGTCGGCATTGAAGGAGTATGTGGTGCTGCCATCCTCGACACCGGTCGCATGGCCAGCCGTGTCGTTGTGAACCTCGAAGTAGGGGGCGAAGCTGCGTGGGCCAGACATATCCGGACTCTCAGGGCTGGCGCCTTCCAACAGGCGCCCGGTGGCCGGATCTACAGTTGGCAGGGCGGCAGGACCGGCACCAGGGAGGTAGGGATGATCGGCCCGCAGCTTGTCAGGACCGGGGGCGGGGGGGGGACCGGTGCGCGGCATATCAGGGTGGTCGTAATTGACACCGCCTGTCGCATCGGGCGCGAAGTTCTGAGACTTGCGCGAGAAGCCGGACTCATGGATCGACGAACCTGAGAGAGCTTGCATGGCATATGCCTCGACCCCAGGATAGTCGGTGGAGGACCGGGGGAAGGCCAAGCTGTTGCGCATGCTGGCGGCCATGCTCTGTCGGGCGCCATTGGCATCGTAAACGCCACTGGCACGGGCGACGCTCTCGGCGGCGGCGGTAATGGCATCGGCGGCAAACTGGCGCGCGGCCTCGGCGCGGTCATTGCCAAAGCGCTCGGCATAGGCGGCGAACATGTCGGCCATGGCTTGGCGCTCCTCCTCGAAGCGCTCTTCATTCTCGAAGCGCCGCTCGTGGATCTTCTTGAGCAGAGTGCGATATGACAGGTGGAAGACACCCATGATCAGCAGCAGACCGGCCGGGAACAGGAGAGCAAGCATCTTGAAGGCACGCTAAAGGGGGGGCGGGC